GGAAGTCAAAGAAAGCACAGGCTTGCTGCTTTCCACTCTGACACTGCTGTGGGAGCAGATAGTTGCCACCAAAGTGGAGAAAGATATATATATATATATAGATATGAATATAGACATATAGCAATATATCTGTATGTTTAGGTCTTTGAGGATCACTGCAGGGAGCTTGCTATGGAATAAATCCAAACTTGGGCAAACATGGAAGGCCAACTTTTGATAAACATATCAAACACATAATTAAAAAATGTGGTATCTGCTGTTTTGTATGTCTTCATGGGGACAAGCAGAAGCCCACACAAAACGATGAGATTATTTGGTTGTGAAAGGATTACCCCCAAGAATAAAACATGCAGAATCACACAAAATTTATAGATCACTCCTGTAAAGTCTTGGAGGTTTTTCACACTGAAATCTTTATGTAAATTTTCCATTGACTTGGTGACAAGCCAGCTGAGAATCCCAGGTCCATGTTTCTTTGGAGCTCGGGTCTCACACAGGCCCAGGCTCCTCATTCCTGAGCACAGGTGCTGACCCTGAGTGCAAAGGCAGCTCCCCCATCCTTTACTGGGACTCCCAGTGACAACAGCAAATTGTACTGGTCTGTTCTGGGCTGGAACCGACCCTTTTCATGCAGCTGTGTGACAGCAACGTCCTGGGGCTGCTGCATATCCACCCAGGACTGAAACAGTGACTCAAAGATAATTATTCTCATTCAAAAAAAATTCTGAAATGGATCACAAAGGAGGCAGGGAACGACCTTTTCTCAAAATTTAAGCAAAACATGATTCCTTCCTTCCTGATCTTAGCCAACCTGTTTTGTTTTGTGTTTTAAAGAGCTACACTGACTGAAAATAAAAATCTTCTCTCTGTCCAAAAGAAATCCTGGAAGGCAGCTGGGAAGTTCTAACAAACATGGAATACTCTGCTAAAAGACCAAACTAAACAAAAAGGTAACAAGGGCTAAAGTGGCCCAGACAGCTCAGCATCACTATCTGGAAAATAACTTGGCATTCACAGCTACAACCAAACAGAGAAGATTAGCTTTGTTTGCTACATCAAACATGTCTTTCTTCCTCTCTCTTCAAACATAAATAGTTCCAGGCTCTAAAATAAATTAGCTCAACTTGGGTTATACAAGCTGTTTCATTTTTTTCTTCAAAAGAGAATATACATGTTTGTTTAAAAATTGTAAATAAAATATAAACAGAGATCTTTCATTGCATGGTGATCCTTTCCAGTAGGTAGTATCAGCACTATGTCCATTTTTCTTCCTTATCCTATACTTTGGTATCACAGCATTATTATGACTATTTCTCATGGGAAATGGATGAAAAAAAATCATGCAGTAAGAGGAGGCTTATCTGTACTTATTCGCTGTAAAAGTAAAAAAATACTCAGATTTAAAATCTACAGAAAATAAATGCGACAAAATTAGTTAACATTACTTTTAATTTTTTTCTTTGAAAAATCCTTCTTTCTTTATGTGCATGTGTTGTGTGGAACATGCAAACCCAACAAAGCTGGTTAGTGAAAGACAGCAGTTCTTAAAGCCCAGCAAGCACTTGCTGCTCATCTCTGGTGGGATGTTCCTGGGAGCTGAGTGCTGGCTGAGTGCTGATTGTGCTGCTGTGGGATGTTTTTTACCGAGGTGGTTGAAGTGCTGCAGCTCTGGGATAACAAAACCTCCTGCAGTACCAGTGTGGTGGTGTAAACAGAAAGCTCTCCCTGGCTTCAAACTGCGGCAAGATGTTTTGTATGTTAACGTGGAACGTTTTGATTGTGTTTTCAAAGATGTAAAACTAAAGCAGGTCCTAAGTACTTCCATGGTGGGATGTGAAGTTTGGCTCTAGGGCACAATTAGCCAAGGGTTTTTTTCCCTCAATATTACAGTGATGCTTCACATCCTTCCTAAAACTGGCTGGGATGAGGTGTCTCTGGCTTGGAGTCTTTCTTAGCATGGAGCAGATTATTACTTTTATTATTGATTTATGCCATGCCTGTCTGCTTCCAGCCTCAAAACACTTTACTAAGTTACAATATACTTAGGAATCATTTCACATCAGCCACCACCACGCTGCAGCCTTCTCCAGAGGGAAACTGAAGGGAGCCATTAGGATGGTGCCTGCAACATTAAACAACAATCCAGGGGAGGAAGTAAAGAATACTCTGGCTCCTTAAAGCAATGGCTGAACAGAATGCAGCCACTGAGCTGCCATCCAGCTGGGACACCAAAGTCAATACCCATTCACCGTGTGTGGTTAAAATTAAATCTCCTAATGAAGTGAGATGGTTTTAGTGGTTAGAGAGTGAGTGCAAAGTATTATTCTCCTGTATGATTATTTGTAAGCTATACAGCTAACAAGGGAAAAGATCACACGCAGGAAAACAGCAGACAGTTAGATAATGTTCCAAGCCCAGTTTCTAAAAGACATTTGGGCAAATAAAGCTTTGGGCAAAAAAAATACACTACAAAAGAAGGAAAAAAAAAAAAGAGAAAAAAGAAAGATGACACAGGACAAATTAAATTGGCAGTTTTTCACTGTTTTTAGGGAACTAAACTAAGCTGAACAGAATTGATGTCAGTTTTTATTCCCTATAGTTCAGGTCCAGAGAAAAGAACATTATTAGTTTCTGTTAATGAGCAGGTATTCCCTAAACACTGGTGCAAATGCTCCTGAATTTTAATTTGCTTAGAAAAAGAAATGGTAAATTATTGAGGGGAAAAAACCGCCATATTAACAGTATTTTTTAAAAAATTTTGTTTTGTTTTTCTCCTGAATTAGCAAAATGCTTCGGTTTATATATCTGACTAAAAAGATCCCCACACTTTGTTATCAAGCTCTCCTTTCAGGGTTAGTAATTGCTAGCTGGTTCTAATCATTCTTGCAAGTGATCATTTGAAAGGTTCATTTTATGACCCCTCAAAGTAGCACAAAGAATCTCACTCCATAATGTAATAAACAATTCTACAACCAGTGCCTAATTAATTCCTGAAAGTCACCAAAAGGAGCTATTAATGATCTTTCTTTTTATCTAACCGTAAATATATAAGTCTCCTGGGACAAAGGATTAAAAAAGAATATTCTGGCAAGACTAACTGTCAACTTGATAAAGCATAAAATGATCATGAGTGAGGGTAATTCAAAATACAGGGCAGTGCTACCTGGTCTGATCAGAAAGTTAGGTCAGGTTGGATTAAATTTCTCTGAATGCTGTGTTTATCAAAAACAGGACACCACTGACATGGTACAAACCAGACTTAATCCAAATGAATACCCAAGAGAAAAGTACTGCAACCTTCACAAAATTATTTTTAAAAATTAGCTCTGTTTGGGATTTAGATTTCCTGTGAACATACCAAGAATCATTATAATTAGAGGGTGGAAAATATTTCAGGGTTATTTAAAATACAACTATTACAAAGAACAGTCTGATATTTTCTAGAGAACTTTGGTGTTTTAGGAGCCCAAGTATTGTTTTCACAAGTAAATCAGGGAGTGGGAAGCTCTTAAATGAAATTTAGTTTCCTGGCAACACAACCCATTGCTGAAAATTAGATTTAAGCTTCTAAAGGGCTTTGATGTTTTTGGAAATCACACTTCCTGCAGCACTGCACAGCTGACTAGATGTAATACATTAATTTGCCTTCCACTGAGGCTATCAGGGCATTATCACTTTGATGGCCTCAGTAGTGTCTGGGAGGTTGGGATTTTTTTTTTTTTCATAGAATGCAAAAATTTATTTTGCTGGGCATAGCCAGTGATGAGTGGAATCTGTGACCAGAAGCAGGAGGAGGAAGGAAAGAGACAATGTACCTTTTCCAAAATAAGCTCCTGTAGTGCTTTGGGAGCTTGTGCTGGTGCCGGGGGAGCCTGGGCACTGCCTGTCCCACCTCTGGAAAGCTCCCTGAGCTGCTGGACCCTCGAGGGACGGGGTCTTTCTGAATTTCTCCCCTGGAAACCATCCCTGGAACACCCCCATGGAAACATGAAACAGACTTCCCACCACACAGCCAGGACAGTGCTGCCTGTGAGGATGGAAACTTCAGGTTTAGGCACCTCTGAAAGGAGTTTTCAATGACTAATACAAAGAAACAAACACAGCAGGAAGCATGAAGAGAGAAACTGGGGGAAATAACTGAAGAGGACTTTCAGTTATTCCCACTCCTTGACTCCCCTGGGCAGGGCCAAAGAGGCTTCAGATCCCCAGTGCCTTGCCCTGTAGGAGGATTCTTGCTCCCACTGGAAGCTGAAGGCTGTGGATTGCGGTGCTGAACACTGAAGAACTTACTGTTCCAAAGATTGTAGAAAACCTGAAAGTTCCTTTAAACAGGAAATTTAAAAAATTCGCATTTTTGTTCTAATCTTCAATAAAACTTGCTTTTTTTTCGTAATGTTGGAATTTCCTGTGGAACAGAAATTCTGTTTTAAAACCATCTCTATTCAACAGGGCTATTCAGATGGAAGCATTTTCTTATTCATTCCACTTTGCAACTAACTGGTGCCACCCCAAATGTATCACTCTTCCAAGAATGATGTGGCAGCCCTGGAATAGCTAATTAATTGGGCTGTATGATGCCTGTGCCAGAAGTTTCAGCTTCCAGAGGCATTCCTTTAAGGAATGGTGGTATGGGTTTGGCTTTTACAAGGATACACATGGTTTCAGGAGCCCACAGGCACCAAAAGTTAGTTTGTGTTTTGTAACTGCTCATCTCAACCCAGTCATTGAGCTGATGCCTTAACCACAGTGAGTCAAGCAAACTTCTTCAAAGCACTCATGGAGAAAGCTTTTGGTTAATTTATTTTTTTTTTAAATAAAATTTTTGTCCTTGGGTAATCTTTCAAGAAAATTCCACTTCTCTGTCTGTTTACTGGGAAAAGAATTACATTTAAACACTACTTGCATCATAATATAACCTTTTGTAGATAAATACCTTTGCCACTTAGCCCTCAATTTTTCATACATTGTTAAGGGGAATGAAAGGTGTCTAAATCCAGTACCTTTATACTTGGTCACCACAGCTGAGTTGACACTGAGGGGTTCTTGGAAGGTGACAGTGAGTGATGTGCTGCTCGTTACCATGAGACAGACATTGGTTGGCGCCTCGGGGGCTCCTGGGAGAGAAGAGAAAACATCAGCTCTTCAGCACAACAAATCCTATTCAAACAATGTTCCTGAGTCTTCAAAGAACCCACTGAAAATCACCCTGCAATTGTGAGCTTTGGGTTGTAGGTGTTTGTGTTTTCTGCCTTTTGAGCATTTTAATTAGTGACCCTACTAACAATATCCTGCAGACACCATTTGTTTCTATCATGGTTTTTGGCTCCTTTTTGGTTAAAAATATCTTCCTGCATATATGTAACCCAATAAAACAGATCCATGCTAATTATGTCAATGAAAAGCCCCTATAAATCTCTTGGGGTGGGTAAGAGGAGAGGGAAAGGACAAAACCACAAAGAGCTAATGAAACCTTGATGGTTTCACTAACAAATTCAAATTTATCACAACCCAGAAAACATTTTTATGTTATTGGGATTCAAAAATTGCAAATTTCACAATTGTTTTTGGTGTAATAATTCCAAAATACAGTTGTCAATTGAGGTCTAACATTTTTGTTTAAAAAAAGAAAAGGAAAAAAAAAACTTTATTTGCAGAATATCAATCAGACTCAATTCAGAAATCAAACACAAAAATGTCATGACTTACTGCTGGGATTGATTTAAAAAGTCAGTATATTAACTTTCACTATTTCTGTATTTCCTGTATTTAGTATCTAAGAGAAGGAGCACTACATCTGTCTTCAAGAAATAACATACAATAAATTTGCAAAAATTATTTGTGAGTAGATTTATATAAAGGTGTTTTTTAAATGTTAATGGAAATTATTGTATTTGATCACATAGGATACAGCTAAAAGATCCATGTGTCTAGAAAAAAATTCAGGCCTGTTTACTTCTTCATTGGGGCCCAAATTCCATTTAATTTGGATACAGACTCGCTTGTACAACTGTTTAAAGTGACTCAATTTGTGGCTGGGGTGATGAAATGCATACCAAGATTAAAATTAGTGCTTATAAAAGTTAAGGTTACATTTTCACAATATTTATGTGCAAAATGAAATCTCACTGCTTGATCAAATATTTAGAACAATCCCATTCCAAAATAGTAAGTTCTTTTGAAAAATAATCAAATTGCAACAGAGAAAAGGCCAGTGTCTCCATCCCTCTTCCTGCCTATTCATATGTTGTTCTACAGCATCCCGTTTTAAATTCTGAACATGTTAAATGAGATCCAGGAGTAAATGTGGAAAAAGATAAGCAGGGCAGAATCATTGCATCCTGAATGAAGAGTTGGGATGTTGGATGTTGTATTAATTTTATGCAGCTTAAGGAGCCATGTGCTTGTTTCTCTCAGATATTTGGTCCTTTATTGTTCTAACACCCATTTTCTTCTCCCTCTTGGAAAGGCCATTTCACCTTTGTGCCTCAGTTTCCCCATCCCAACCTCCTCCAGCTCCCACTCGCAGCTGTGCCATGAGGATCAGCATCTTTGGAGAGGGTTCTCAGCTGCAGATTCCTGCCTGGAATTTTGCTGTTCCCTGTACTTGGTGTCATTTTTGCCTTTTTCCGTTTTGTATGTTCCCTGTATTCACACGTAAATTTGGAGCTCTGTAGCCTATTGTATGAGTAGCTAGTTTGCCCAGTACTTTTCCATAGCCTTTCCTTAAGCAGAAAGACAAAACAAATTCCAGAGCTCCAAGCCCCGCGTGGTGCAGGGTCCCAGTGCTGTCTTGGTTCTTCCTGGAACCAAGGCTGAGAACAACTCCTTGAGATCCACGTCATGGACCGAGCACAGCTAGTGCTGAGGGGGACACTCCAGAGAAAGGGCTTGACCTGGGATGGAATTGCATCACCACTCATCCTCCTAATTGGTGCTTTTTATCCATTACGCTAATTTCCTGAAACCTATAAAAATGCACTCATCCCTGTAGGGGTGGCCTTTTGTGGTCATCTTTCTACAACTGCCCCTGAAGGCCTTCAGATAAAGATCCTCTTTTTTATTACCTTCTTACTAAAATGGCCTCGAGTTTCATTTCCAAGTTGAGAAAAAGGCAACATACTCACGGGCATGCTCGTAGCCGGCCTGCATGCGCTGGTAGAGTCTGGCCCGCCACTGCCAGCCCTTGAGCTGCTTCTCCCTCTCGGCGCTCTCCGTGCCCAGCCCTTCACTCGCTGCTTGCGCTGATAGCTCCGCCACTCTCTGCTGGGCCTCCTGCACCAGCGTGCTCAGGTGCACAGACCTGCTCTCCACGGTCACAACTGCCAGGAAGAGAGGGAAACAGGAAGCGCTTGGCAAAATTTTGGCCGTGCTCAGAACACATCTTAGGTTACAATGTAAGATGTACCCAAAAGTGTGTCTTCTATCACCACCTGCATAAGCTGTTAAAACTAGTTGGGGCAGAGTTCCTTATTTCCTTCATGACTCATCCCTGATAACTCTGAGGGATGTCTTCTGTTAATGGACCATTGAGTGTCACTGCATGACTGATAAAATTATATTATACCGTTGGGAGATGCTCCACCCAGGGGGAGGAACCAAGCATTCCTACCTGGATATGAACTCAGGTTTGGAACACCACAGCAGCCTTTTCCCACTGGATTCTCAGAGGACAAGACCTCCATAACCACCACTGGACCTTCAGAGGAAAAGCGAGTCCTTCTACAAGATCACTGCTTCAACAGAACCACATTTGTCACTCCAGGAGAATTGCAGCCACCATTTAATCTGACTGCTACCAACACCCTGAACAACAAAGTGTCAGGTTCTATTCTGGCAGTGTTTCTGTATTATTGCATTTATTTTAATTTTCCTTAAAGATCTGGCCACTTAAATATCATTAACAACATGAATAAATTTTCCACATTTTTTCCTCTGGTATTTCTCATATGTTTAAAATTGTCTTAATTAGGCTGAAATTGCCTACCTGTTGTAAGTCAGAATATGAAAACCAAGCTAAAATAATAACCTCTCTCTAACCTCTGCTTTGGTATAATATAGTAAACTTACATTCAAAAAAAGGAGATTGTACGGGTTACAAACACAATATATAAACTTCAACAAACAAGAAGAGATCTGATTGGGAAAATTAAGAAATTTTTGTGCCTAAAGTCCATGGCTGGTAAAGAATTGATCTCTTTCCAGCTTTTTGTGCTACAGTTTTGTCCAGAGCATTTAATTAGTCCTCTGACAGGCGGTGAGCAGCTTGCCACATGGAGATTTTTTCCTCCCATGCTCAGAATAATATTAATTTGATGTTTAGCAGTTCAGATTTTCTGTGTGAACTACTGTGGTGAACATCAAGGTGAAAATTAAGATCACATAGGTTACAAACTAGAATAGGTTTGATTTTAGCCCAAGTTCCTTAACAAGCCCCTTGATTGTACAGTGAAAATGGTGAATCAAGTCCTATTTTCAGAGTTGTTCTTAGCCTAAAATTGTTCAATCTCTAGTTTAGAAAGTAGGACTTGTAAAGATGTTTAATTTGAAAATAAATGCAGGTATTGATTTGATTTTCAATATGCAGGAAAGAGACACAAGAGAAGGAATTCTGAAATCACAAAAATCACTTTGGTGTTTGGTGTTTTTTGCAGAAGAGCTCTGAGATAGCCTTAATTTAAAGGGCCTCTTTTTACCATAATCAGTGCCCTGGCACATGTGGCTTCTCTTAGCAATAGTGAGGAATCGCTAAGTAGAGACAGGCAGGCTATTGGTTGCCCCAAGTCTTTCACAGGAACAGCAGGAATCTTACACAGACTGAACTCATCATTCACTTGCACAAGTCAGGAGCAGCAGACATTTCTGAAGACATAAAACAGTACCATAATAAAGCATCAAGGCTCTCAAAGGTTTTTCACACCAAAATATCACAGGAGCAAATATGTATGTGGATATGAATGTGTTATTTCTAAACTGGGATTGTATGGGACAAATTAGATTGAAAAGGACCTTCACTAGACCAGTCCTCTTCAAAACAGGCTCAGCCCAGAGGTCAGACTGAGTTTCTGAAGGTATTATCCAGTCTGGTCTTGAAAACTTCCCAGGATGGATGAAGATTGTTCCACTGCTTCACTGTCCTTATAGTGAAAAAAAAAGGTGTTTGTTTTATTCAGCCTGAATCTCTCATTTTAACTTTTGCCTCTGTCTCTCATAACAGTGTGACAGCCAGAGTTTAGCAGAGTCTAAGAATAACCCTACTGATGTGAAAAGTGGCCTGGAATCTTTACAGCCACGGGAGAGCAAAGAATTACTCAACACCTCTGACATCCAAAGGGTTGTTTTTGAAGAATGTTTGTCTCTAAGACTTTGCTTTCAGAAGCTGGCTTGAAGCCATCCTTCTTAAGTTTGATCATTCTTCATATGGACATCAGGGACATATGGCCAGGCTCCCTGGAACCTGCTGGTATGCTCAGAACTGTTGTTTACTGGGAGGCCAGAGGTGATAGGGTTTCCTGGATCCATGCCTACAATAAACATGCAACACATCTGATAGCACAACAGGACTGAGGAAGGAGATTTTATGTGCCAGAGCTTCAGGTGGTTGAGCATTGGCATTGGTTCAAGTTCTCACTAAGGATCTGGCTCTATCTGTTTAATCAAGGCTCAGATCCACATTTGTTGAGTCTCTGATGTCCAATCAGCCAGTGGGAATTTTAATCTTATTTTTATTTGGGTTCACATGAACAAGCCAAACCATGAGTATATGATGAATTATATAACTGAAATGATAACACTTTGTCTTCTCCCCAACTAAATTAATATTTTAAACGCTCTACTCTCTGATCTTAGTTACTTTGTTTTTAAAAGATGTTGGGTTCCTGTTGAGATTTATACAATCTGAGTTCCATGTGGAGATGAAGATCATAGTTTTACTTTTCTATTGCTTTATCTGCTGCTGTTCCAGGCAGAAATCCAGGTGATACAGATGGAAACTATCTGTCCTCCAGATCCTCTTTTCCACAGAGTTAGGCTAGAAGCTATAATGAAATTTCAGCTGGATCACTGCAGCTAATATACACAATGAAAGAGCAGAGGTTTTCTGTGAAGGAAGTTTTTTGTTTGCACTTGGAATGAGGAATTCCTCCATTTCACCTTTTCCCACTCTGTGCATCTGTCTTGTACACTTCTAATCACATTAACAGAAGCTGTGTCCAGTCCCAAAACTGGGTGAGTCAGGATTTTACCCTCCCATTCAGCCTGAAGAAGTCTTGCTCAATTGCCCACCACAGAGGAATGAAAATGCTCCTGCTGGGTGCTGGATCATGTTCCTGCAGCCCTGAGATGATACAAACAGGATTTAATTTGAACAGGGTTAGTTGAGTATGAAAAGCAGAGCAGAAATCTGGACAAAATAGAAGGTGACTGCCATCAGTTCCACAAGAGTGAAGCCACGCACAAAGATGCTCTGAACTTTTGTTCTGAGGGCTGAAAATAACTTTTTGCATTTTACTCTCAAACAGCCACTGCAAAGCCTTCAGGTAAGAAACGCAAACAAAATGATCATTTGCTTTTTACTGGGAATGTTTCATCCATTATTTCAATCAGAAAAACTAAAAATCAAGATAAGTGAAGTGGAAATTTGGTGGGTATATTTTGAAATGGAAATGAGGTGGTTATATATTCATATTCTCTGTGTTCATAGGCATGTTTGCATTAATTACAGGAAATGAATACTAATTTATGATTGCCCCTGCTCGCCATCAGACTGCATTTATTTACAGATGAGGTCAATGAAAAATTAGTTTAGTCTTTTTTACTGCTGTTTAGAACACTCAAGACTGTGTTTTCCTCTAGATTTGTCATGGTTAATGAATGTTGCTTCAGCAGTCAATCATGTACTCTAAATGCTGTCACACTTTTTTTTAAAGCCTCAGTCATGAACCATGACAGAAAAATAAACAAATAAATATAAAACTAAAAAACTCTTTTCACTGAGCAGCTACACTATGCAAAAATCTCCAGGGAAGGTTAAAGGAGGCCAGAATAAATGATAATATAAGTGCTGTGGATATAGAAAAGCAATAAAGGTGTACCAACACTGAGGGTCTGGCAAAAAAACTCAACATGCACATGCACACACACTCTCCAGTGAAAAAACTGGCAATGTTAGTAGCCTCAAGGTGCAATTTCCTGGAGCACTGAGATTGACATGCCAGCACTAAATGTTGTTAATTTAACTAACTTCAAATTAATGGCAGAGTCTGCAGTGGCCGAAGCGCTCAAACACAGTCTCATTATAGCCTTGCTGGGAATGTCCTAAATATAGGCATTGACAGTTTAAAACAAATTCTCTTACATCGGGGTATTTTTAGACCCACGTAAGGCGTCAGAGTTTGTGTCATGGTATATGGTTGATTAATTGGGTTGGTAAGTCACCCTCCAACCCACAAACTGGGCATAAAAAGGCCCATGAAGGAATACAAAGAAGTTTTATAACTACAATATGTAGTTATAAGCAATATTGGTGTTCCAGTAAAGTGAGAAGGTCTGTTATTTGTATAGATTTTCTCTGGTTCTGTAGAACTTTGAAATTCTGATTTAAGTGGGATTTTAGGCCGTTTGAAGACTAGTAGTGAGGGGTCTGTGGGGAATGGAAGTGATAGATTTCGATACAACCGGCCTCCTGAAGGCAGAGTAGCCAAAATCAAAAGGATAATCAAAGAAAAGCAAAGTCTAGACAACCCATCATCCTTTCGTTTTTCATGACAAACTCTGCCAAACCACAATCTTTGAATCACTGAGTTCCTGTTGCCATATTTTTAAAGATTTTTTTCTCAAGATTGCTATTAACCCAGCTGCCCCAGTGTTAATCACATTAGAAGCTCAACATGATTGATTAGTTGGTGTATCTGAGAGAGAGAAAAAAAAATCTACTGAGCACACATTCAATGAGCAGATATTGCTGCAAATATCCTCCAGCACTCTTGTTGTAATCGTCTTTATGATAAAACTGGGCAATTTTTGTGTGTCGTGTAATTGATTTTCATTAACAACAACAGAACTGATCTCATACAAGCAATTATCTAAGTCAATTTATGTTCTTTACTTACAGTGTGGGCTTTCCTTTGCCCCAACGTGCAGAAGGGTCCTGGCAATGGGGACGTTGTTTGTCAAAATGGCAATATCCAAAGGAGTGAGTCCCTCACTGTTTGGTGTGTTCAGGTCCAGTTCCTCCAGGGTGTATTGATAAAGAAGAATCTGAACAGCATCCAGGTCCTGCTGCTCTACGGCCTCAAACATAGCTTCATTGCACTGGAAATTCTGTGTGTCAATAAAGACAGAAATTCAGTAAAACTTTTCAAATGTTAGTGCTTTAAAAATAGAGAAAATTTGTGTTTTGTGAGTTTGCTCCTGAAAATAAAATATTGTGCCTCCAGCCCCAACTTAGGCTCAGCTTGCAGCAAGACAAATGTTTGCAGCAGAACTGAGCATGGTCTACCCCTGGAGTGCTTGAAATTGCTTCAGGTCTGTGGGAAGATTCAAGTGAGATTCAAACCCATATGAAACAAACACATTTTTATTTAGACATCTGTCCTGTAATCAAACTGTATGAGCAACATTATGTTTGTGGTGTGAAACTGGATGATATGCTACAATTTTGGCAGAGCTTTGGACTACTGAGTTTTTCAAACTCAAAATTTCAAGTACAAAACTACAATCAGATGATGAAAATCTAAATCAAGCAGTTCTGCAGATAAACCTTCCCAGTTCCAGCGTGACCCAGTGTGCTCATTCTACCACCTCAGTAATTTCTAGATGCCCGTATTGTTGCATTTAAGTTGTAACTAGAAAAAACTTTGAAATTTGTAGGCCTTAAAAACAGAAGTAGAAATGGGACTGAAAAAATGGACTGTCCAGTGTGCATGTCTGAGCAGCAGAGAGAACAAGCAGCCAAACCTGAGGACTTCCACGGCACCAACTCTCAGGCAGGGAGAACCACTGAACCTTTTCCTTACCAGTGTCAAGGAGATAAAAGAATGGCACAACACAAAGGCCCCTGTTGTTTCCTAATTGAGCTGGGGAGAAGCAGGTGCAGGAGAGTAGCAGGGCCTGCAGGTTTCTTTTATGAGAACATCCTTCTGGAGCCTGCAGTAATGACAAGTTATTTGCCAAGATTCTTTAAATTCTCTCCCAGTGTCCCATTGCCATAATTACGTGACAGGATTTTTCCCTCTTTGGAATGAAATAGCAGGAGCAAGAGGCCCAGCAAGTCAAGGAGGGCTCAGAGCAGAGATTCAGATACACAGTATAAACCAGCTCCCTGTGTCCCAAAACCACTGAGAAAATTCTCATCACAGAATGCACTCGTTATTCCATGAAATACATATTGAACCGAAACCATCTTCTACTGTGATTAGAAGTTAACATTTCAACCACACTAAAACTTCATTTTCTTTTTAAAATATCAATTTATCAATAGTTTTATTGGGCATATCTGTGTCTAATCTCAGTGAAAAAGCATTGACCTGCTGGAACAGCTGTGTCTCCTTCTAAAGCACATGGACTGAGGGTTTCCAAACAGTTCTGGAAACTGCAGTCCCCATCTCCACCTTGGAATTTGATCAGTTCTACGGGAGCTTTTTTTCACTGTGCTTGAAGTTAAAAGTGTCTTCCAAAACTTTCAGGTCTGACAGGGGTCTTCTGGTCTACTCTTTGTATGTGAAATGTTGGTACCACACTAAGAAATTGCAAAGGTGATGTTAGCTAAAAGTTTTAGTACGGACCCCATCAGTGCTGAATACTGGGGATCAGCAGAACAGGAGGACAAGCGTGCAGAAGTGCCCTGTACCCCAAACTGCCAATGTAAAGAAATGAGATACTTATGTTAAGATGACAATCTAAGGGTGAGATGAGCTATGCAGCAATAATGCAAATCTGGGACAATAATGCTGACTTGGGAATCACCTTGTAGACACTGAAGTACAGAACAGCTCATGCTGGAGAAATATTTTTCTGTAGGTTTCCATGTAGAATAAAAGATATGACTTAAACATCAGTGCTGTTCATGGGGTTCTGTCACATTCTTGTGTTTAGACTCTTCTCCAAATGGTAAGATTCAGGTTTAATTTTATAATCAGATACTTAGGCCACACTCCAGGGTTGGTATAAGATAAAAAAATCTCAGAAAAAGGGACAGTTGATTGGTAAGCAGTTCTATTTGCCATTCTTTTTTAATGCCTTTGATCAAGATAAAATTGGTTTATAAGGACATACACTGTCATTAGGCAAAGCACATGTCCAGAAAATTTTAGAAAAGAAGAGAGCACATATTTCTCTTGTTGTAAGGGAAAACTTTAAAATGTCAGAAATTTTTACTGCAATGCAGGAATATTTATTATTCCAGTAGTTCCACACATCTGCAGTCTGGCTTATGTAACACCTTTATAATCTTGATACCAGAGACCTCACGCTTATTCTGGTGTTTTGCCTGTATTCTGAAATGATGAAATGCTCTTGCTAGAAATCAAAAGAATTTTAGGTAATTATAATTACAAAATATTTTAATTATTGGTATGATTCTGATACTTCTGTAAGTCTTCAGCTCCACTCATCAGTGATATTGATTTAACAGCTGTATGTCACTGTATTGTGCACTCAAAATTAGCATACAGAGAGCACTGATGTTTGAAGTACAGACCAAAAAGAAAGCTTGCTCTTCACTCCATGAGACTTCATTATTATGATACAGAATTGTGAACTGATAGACTTTTTTTCATGGAAATTATTAGAAATGTAAAATCAGAAAATCACAGAATGGTTTGGGCTGGGTGGGACCTTAAAGACCAACTTGTGCCAACAACGTGCCATAGGCAGGGACACCTGCCTCTAGAAATACATTCACCAACTCTTCTACATCAGCATTCTAAACAGCATTAATTTAATCATTGTTAATGTCCATTTCAAATTCCTTTCCTACTGTTACTGGAACTTTTTCCACAGTGTTGTTTGTGGGAGTACAGGATAATTATGCTTCAGAATCATCTGGATTTTGATCCAATCAGAAAACAATTGAAAGCATATTACTCTTGTAACTGATCACAGCTATGAAAATCTACTTATTTAGCAGTGGATTAATAAAGAGCATATTACAAAGGGAATTGGTTGAAGGAAACGAAATGACTGCATTGGTCTGCGTTTCTTTTAGTTAAGTTCATTTTTGGAAACAGTTTGGGGGCAGAACAAAATGTAAAGCTGATGGTATTACTGAGTGAAAGGCCGTGGTGCTCACTCAGGACAGGAAGGTAGTTATTTCTCTCTTCACATTTTCCCTTCTGTGGCACTGTGTACACACATGATTTTCCCTTTTTTTAAAACCATAATAAGTAATTATCTTTTAATTTGCTTTACATATGTACACAAAAGTTAAATGAGTTAGCATTTGTAGAGTGCTACCTTAAGTGCTCAATATCATTATTTGGCTTTAATTCAAATTTTGTGAGAAACTCAGGAAATCTTGTACTACATCTCAGAAGTTTCTTGCATTATATAAGCTAAAAATTCACTATCACATGATAATAAAAGAGAGATGGCCAACTTCACTATTATAGCTGAAAGTAACCCAAATTATGTCAGACAAAAGCATTTTGTACTTTTTAAATACACACCCACACAGCCCTTAACAGATTTTACCTATCCGTCAGATTGCTGTAAAATTTTTTAAAAAATTTTGATTTAAACTGGGTTTTTTTAATTATCACGATTTCGACCTGCTGGTGTGCCTTTGAAAATGCATCTTCAGACTTGTGCTTGCCAAATGAAATATCTGAAGTATTTGTGAAATTTTGGCCCTAAGTAAGTTGCTGAGCAGAGTCTAAGCCCATGCTTAAGTTAAATTTGTTGTAAACGCTCTTGCCAACTGACCTGCTGGCAAGAACATTTCACCAAAAGGGAAAAAAAATACTAGCAAATTTCTATTTCTTCATTTCATTAGAAATATGACTGAAAAAGCTGCACTGATTTAAATGAGAAACAACATGACTATTATAAGCTGCTTCATCCAATCCAGACAATTACAAGATCAAATTGCAAATATCAGGTTTTCCAAATGAGCAATTCAGACACAAGCAATAGGCTGAAATACAGTGGCAGTCTTGTAACTCCAAGGAGTGTAAAATCATGGCAGCTGTGATGTGGCCTTTCTAAATGGTCATGTGTGCATCCATCATCCATAGAAGAGCACCTCAAACTCTGCTAGACAGTCAAAAAACATCCTGGAGAGGCAGCAAAGTATCTATTACATATTCACCCTTGCTAGTGTACTGCCCCATTTGGAAGTCTGCATCCAGCCCAGCTCTCCAAGTCCAGAAAAACATTCTACACATCTGACCAACTTTTCCCAGCTATTTGATTTCACACAGAAACCAGAAATATATTTGAAAATTATATAGTTTGCAGCAAAAAGCTTATCACATTCCATGTAGAGGACTCTCTAGTATTGCAGCATGTTTCAGACATCTGCAGCCTTGGGATAAAAAATCCAAACAAGTATAAGGAGTAATATTTTTAGACCCCAGTGCTCTATTTTAGTCCAGCTGATATTGTCACAAATACCAACAAGAGCAACCATTTACCTTTACTAGATAACTTTCTTCTGCTCTGAAAGGACAAAAGCATTGAATTCAAAGAAAAAACTTAATCACATTTAAAAGTGATTGGGTGAAGTTTAGGAGCAGTTTTTCCTTGACTCAGTCCGGCAGCCTCTAATCATTAGCTGGACAGCTGTGCTATGTGATTAATTTATTTAGGTGTTACTGTGATGCACAAATGTATATACTGAAAAGAACTACAGTATTGCTTTGCAGTAAGTAATAACCATGTTCCAGTAAGTGATTCAGTGCCAGAGTGTTTAGAAATGCAATCTTATGTAGCTTAATTAAAATGAAGTGCCCCTTTCAAGCTATTTGCTCTAAGTTTGACTGAAAAAGTCCACTATGTACTACTGGAGTTGGAAAAAGTGGTAAAGTAGTTTCTGCAAAGACTTGTTTTGATAAACATGAGTTCAAGAATAAAGCTATTTTGGGACATTGCTATGTCTGCAGCAAGACAACAATTTACTGAATGGAAAGTGTTGCACAGCAAGAGAGAGTGGAAAGAAAACTCTTCACAAGCCAAAGCTGAAAGAAAACAAATTCTAACAAATGTTGTTCACTTGTCTGGAGACATGATTTTACTCCTTGACTTAGCTCAGCAGCGCAGAAACTCAATTATTAGAAAATACATGAGCTAGCAACTTAACCTGGAATATTTCTACCCCTTCACTAATAGTTTTCTTGCTGTTTATTTCTAGGGAAAACTGGGAAAACAACAAGCAGAATGGATAGAATGAGATCCAAAGCGTCTCAAGTTCAGGGGGAGTCTATTCACTGCCTGTTGTGGACACTAGCTGACTCCCCAGACTGGTGATACCTGGGGGTTTCTCTGCTGGGCTTTTATCAGTGACAAAAGCTGTGACATTCCCAGGACAGTGGGAACAAATTCCCAGGCTGGGGGAACAAAGTTAGCACAGATGTGTCTGTGTCCCATTAGATCTCCATGCACACAACATAAAATAAAGTCTCCTAATGATGATGGCTGATGGAATAGGCACTCCCACTGCTGACAGACCAGAGTGAAAAGGGACAGATCTGAGGCTCTGAGTTACTGGCTCAAGGTTAGCAGAAGACTTGGCCCCCAGAAGCAGTGCCCTGCTCCTCAATCCTTTGGCTCAGCTCACTGGCAATTTCTCTTCTTATTAGTGAAGTGTGACAGAAGAGCCCATGTTTGAAGGAATATGTAATCTGAAGGGTGTATTTAGATAAACACTGGTCAGAAGATATGCTCACAGACTGGCATTCATTCAGCCTGCATGTCAGTCTGCTCTGGCATGTCCCCAGGGCTGGTTTGTCCTCCTCCTTCACTCCCTCAGTCATGCTTGAAATTGAAGTTGGGAAAAAAAAAAAAAAAGACAAGATAAGATAGTGGCTAAAAAAATTCATCTAAAGAATCTTTCCCCACAGTTCATACTTTGAGGCCTGAATTCAAATCATCCCTACAAACTGAAAAGCATTTGGAAACCCACAGCCTCAATAGCACAGCTGCTGACTACCATGAAAAGGCTGTCCTTCAGCTCACAAGCCTTGTTTGAATTTCAGGCTTCTCTTATGAAACAAGAATCTATTGGCTCTGGAAGAGCTGAGAGGAAGCAGCCATGGTCCCCTGCTTCCTTCAGGTCATGGTTCTTCTTCATAGGAGAGAGACAACAGTCTCCACAGGTCATGCAAGGGTGTTCTGACTTTGGGAAAGCACAATCCTAGGGGACAGCATCAGCTAATTGAATTAAAAATAATTTCTAATTCTTGCACTGATTTATATAATACGTCTCTTACATAACTTGTGAGTATTAAAGGAGTCTAGAGTGTCCTTCTGACAAAATGTGATATTTTTGTTATCCGACCCAGCCATACTGCAATGCACTAAGCATCTGATTGAGTGCAGCAGAGTGCTGGCTCCAGGGGGCATCTCCTGGTGCATTCAGACAATGTCATTAGACTTTGCTCATCAGAAGTGGAGACAAACTCTTTCCTTAAATAATGCAGAGAAGTTGAAGAATGTGTTTGTTTTTCCTATTTAGGAAAAAGCAGGATTTATTTTGTTTTGGCAATATCCACAAGCAGGTTCATCTTCCTCCAGCAAGGAGAAAAGATTCTGTTGTACATTGAATTTACATTGGACTGTTATTTCAGAGACAAAGTCCATCCCCCAAAAAGTATGCACTGGGGGCTGTGTAACTTCACTAGCACTCGCAGCAGTGGGAGCCCTTGTGAGGGTTAATCCCAGCAGGTGTTTCTGTATTTTACTGTGCTGGTACCAGAGTGCTTGGCTGGGATTTGGATGGAGGTACCCAGGCCAGACTCCTTCACATGTGGTCTCTTTCTTCCATGGTGTTATCTACTGACCATCACCACAGTCTGGTAGTAGCCTTACATTTATCTGTCATGCCTGAAAGTTCCATTTGCTCTGTCGTTTGGAAAAATGGGAACTTCTGTTAAAATCCATCTTCACTTTTCTCAAAACATGTTTTATTCTTTTCTTGTAAGAGAAACACCTGCATCTATAGATTTAATTCACGTTTTGTCATGTAAGTGCCAAGTTACAACCTTACTCCTAAAATAAAGCACCACCACTTGAGCGGGTAGCCTGTCTTTACCCTTCAAGAAGGTCAAACTCTGTTTTGACAAAGGGTCATTAACGGCAAGGCTGGGAAGAACACACGGCACTCGTCAGGGAACAAAGCGAGATGATGAGGGTGGAACAGATGAAAGGCCAGCTGATGAAGGACACTGAGGAGACAGCGGAGAGGCAGTGGCGGGCTGGGCGTTACCATGGAGGCCTTGCGGAGGCTGAGGCGGTCGCAGCGGGACCTGAAGTAGGCCTCGTCAAAGGACGTGTGGCTGCCCTTCAGCTTCTCCGACAGGTTCCGGTACAGGCGCTTGGCAGCGCTGGGCGACGAGGGCATGCTGTGCTTTTTGCTCTGCAGGAGGCTCAGGTTGTGCATTTGCTGGGTCATTCTCAGCCGGGGTTTTCTAAAAGGAAAACAGCAGCCGTTTAGTGAGGTTTTTCCGCACCGACATCATGGATCAGAAGTGTGTCACCGAAACACAGTGTGAGGCTGCTGTGTCTAAAATCACTTTCACACGCAGCTCCTGCACAGCGGCACAATTGGGGCTTTTTCAGCGGCAAATTGCTCTTTATGGAATTAGACCCATGGATATCTATGGACACAGAGAATTAAAAACAGAAAAATAAAACAGACCACCTCAGAATAATTTGCCAATTCATATAAGGACGAGGAGTTTCAATTAATGAGGGAAACAATACTTTTTCAGAGTGAGTTATGGTAATACAGGTATCAGAAAAGAAAGGCACCCAAAAGAAAATGTTGCTATGGGCAGTTTCTAATGAGTGGCTTCTTCCTCATGTAGTAGGCAGGCACTGGTTGTGTCTATTTGTTGTATTACTTTATCCTGCTCTGTGTTTGCCCTGTCCATTTAGAGTACAAACCCTTCCAAGAGAGACTGCTACCTCTCTGACTGCCACCTCTCTGACTGCCTCACCTAACTGGATTTACATATTATCTCATAATTAAACAATACTTTCTATGCTCTATCATTACATTCATTTTTCTGTATGAAGAAAAATTGAATTAATATTTAACTCTGGAAATCCATTATGTGGAAATAATTTTGCCTTTCTGAAGGGAAACTAAGAATCAGATTTGACCCAACTGCAGGCAAAGGAAACTATCCCTATGGATTTCTAAGTGAAAAAGTGGCAAAAATGCACCATTTCTTTGCATATTCCTTTTCCCCTGACAAGTGTGTACACATATATAAGGCAGAATGCCTCTCTAGGAGATTTCACAGTTGTAATAGTAAACCTGGCTACCTTTTCAGAGCATCTTTTCTGGAAATAATCTTTAATATTTTTTTTGGTACTATGATACAAATTCTTTTTTGTTCTAATGGTTTCAGCCTTCTTCTGAGCAAATTGGATGGCAGACTTTAAGGACTATTTCCAGTAAAAGCATTCTTTACTAAACAGTCATCCTGCTGTGGAGGCTGGTTTTGGCAGGTATTTGTCCTTAAGATTAAAGACATCACTCAGGTTTCCTAAACTTTCTACATCTTACTTTCTTACAGTACACTGTGGTGAGCACCCTGAGCATAAAAGTATCTCATTACAATTAATTTCACATATTCTCCATGCTCCTGGGGTACTGAAGAGAGACCAAGTCTCTGAAGGAAGAGAGTCAACACAATTGTCACATGGGATGAAAAGACTTTGTTACATTAGAACAACAGTGGGTGCAATCAAAAGGGAATTATGTGAGCTGCACTCCTGAAATAAATGTGCAAGTGTGGAAATGATAAGAAGCTCTCTGGGACTCAGGAGACAGCAATACTGCAAGGATTTTTGACTGGTTTTCTCTGAGTTTGTGGAGTAAACTGATTAACCACCTCCCACTTTTCTATGTTATTAGACTTTTAAAGAAACTCACGAAGTTACCAAATTTAATAATAATTTAATTCTCAGTTACTTAGAATAACACTTTCATTTCTGTTAGTACTCAGTGCTACAGATTGTCCCTCATAAATTTCTCCCTTTACCACTGTTTTCAAGAACTTCTTCTTTTCATCAATAAAGTATGGGTCAAAACACAGACCCAAATAGTGAATAAAAATAGGGCAGGGAGTGCCATAGGCATTTTTGTAAAGGAAGTTTCAATTTCCCAAAATAATCTGATTCCTAGGCTACAAGTTTTGAACACCAAATACCACACACAAATACTAACACACAGTTGGTAGTGAACACAGGATAGAAAGAAGAGTTTGTATTTGCCACACAAACCTAACCACCCTCAAGATGAGGACAATGAAGAGTTCACCAAACCAATTCTTAATTCAAAGGCAGGTCAGCCCTCTGCACTGTCTGCTTTGGGATTATGGGTTGTTATTTGAAAAGCAACAGGCTGAGCACATCTGAGTGGCACAAGAGAGGTTACAAGGTTCATGAAGCCAATATGGGAATTTGCTGAGGGGCTGTGTAGATATTTAGGAAGTATACATTAAAGAAATTAGGAACATCTACTTAATAGGACTTCTCCTACCTATTGTGGTATTAGTTAAACAAAACAAGAAAGCCTGGTATTACTTATGCCTCTGTCAGTGTTCTCCAGGCTGACAAAGTTCTCCCCGTCTCACTAGACCAAACTACCTGCTTGCTTACTTTAATACTCTCAAGGATTTAAATAATTACAAAAAAAATGAATTTTACCAGCCAGACTCCAAAAAAAGCCCTATCTCATCTACAGCCTTCACTAATGCAGGAAGTGTATTTGTCTCCATCTTCTTAAACTCAGTTGCCCAGATGTTTTTCACAGAATCTCTTGGAAGTCATCAAGTTCAAGCTTTTCTTGAGAATGGAGAAGTTGTTTCCAGAATCTCAAATTTCTACAGAGAACAACTTGACAGCAGCATTTTCTTTTATGAGAAAATACTAACCTGAGCAAGTAAAGGAGAAGAACCTGTCAGTTCTTGGACAGTTTTCCAGGAAATCACTCTTTGGGAGAGGTGCTCTAGTGACACCTCTCCCAATACACATTCGAAACTCAGACAGTTGGCAGGGCTGTTTTCTCTGTTTCAGTGTGTACACTGTAAAAAGAAACTGGAGCCTCTATTACAGCATTCTAGAATGCTGGTGTAGGCTTTGAACCAAAGCAAATTTAGGCATCACTGGGGTGCTAATCTGTGTCACCAACCCAGAAAAATTTCAGAGCAGTTAACTACCAAGCCTATTTCCCATGGCACGGCTTACTGTTCTTATGGACTGTGACTAAACATAATTTGATTCTAGATATTACTGTTCCTTGGGGTAGCTGGAGTCCTTCCCACCTTGATCTGGTCAATGAACCAGGATTTATCCATTCAGAAGAAAACAAGTGTGTTAGTAACCACCTAAACAACAACATCCAGGACAGTAACCATGGCGTGCCCCTGCCACACCTGGAAGCTTTGTCAGTAAAAAGCCAGAGCAGGTCCATAGTCTGACACTGATGGGAGAAGAGAACAGAATCTTTTATAATCCCATCAATGTTTCTGTGAAGTCAAGAGCAGTTGAATCTACAGAGAAGCTAAGCAAACACTCTTGAAATTGCAGCTATTTAACAATAAAACAGATGGCAACTTTGCTATCCACACAGAATTGGTGAATCACAAATGACTTGAAACATAGATTCCTGTATACTCACCACCAATATCCCAAACAAGTGCAGGGAATAACTGTGGAACAATAAAGCAATAGCTGGAACGACATGATGTGAACGAACTGAATTTTTCACCAGTGTACTGAACAGTAAAGTGCAAAATGCCACTGCAGATTATCACACTTAGCATCCTTCCTAGTCACATACAAGGTATGAAATGAAAAAAAAAAAGGCAAGTAGAATATTCTTTAAAACTTTCTGGAAGTAGGATCTTATTAGGCTGTAGAAATTACTCACAGTAGAGCAATGGGAATGAGATGGGGCAAAATTGTGGGTGAAAAGCATAATAAGAAATAAAGAAAAGAGACAGCTCGATCCACATGATTCTGTGATGGAAAGAACAAGGTTTTTTGGATGCTGTTATTTTTTTTACAGAAATAAACTATTTCATGAGAGCATTTTTAGGCTCCTTAAAAAAGTTATTAATTTTATTTCTTTTACAACCAAATCCTTGCCTCAACAATCAGGTGAAGACCTGAAATGTGCCTTGTCTTGATTGAAACAACAAATACCCCTGCTGAAATGCACTTAGCCTGAGGATGTGTCATTGTCAGAACTAAAATTTTTGCAGCAGCTGGAAGATTAATCATTTAGAAAAAAGAAGATATGCAGAAGAGCCCCATTTGAGATTTTCATCTGTGGAAGCCTCTGCACAAAGCTGACATGGGTCAGGATGACATAAGAACCTCTCCATATGGTTTGGAGTAGCCCTGTGTGATCTAATTTGCACCCCCACAGCAAGGTGAGCACTGCAACAGGCAGCACAGCACCAGGTTTTACTGGGAAAGGCAGGACTAGAAAAAATAACAACAGCAGCTCCCCTTATAACCAGACATAATTAACAGCAGTTTTCATTTCCAAGAACTAAAAAGCACAAAAGTCTTGCAGCAGATCTCTGGGGAAACAGTTACTGCCCTGCCCTGGAAATACCCATCAAACCAGTCTGTGTGACAGTCACTGTGCTACAGCTAGGAACCAAACCAGGGACCAAGGTCTCCCTGGTTATATTTCATATTTCATTCTGCACATCCTGTAGCTTCATCTTTCTGATTGAATTTCTACTTGCACTTAAGCACTGAGCCGTTTTATTCCCCATCACCAGGGTCCTTTAAAAACCAAATTCAAATACAAATGAATATAAAATAGTTATCTTTACAAAAGACTTGTGATTTTTTTTCCTTTTTAATTGTCAAATACTGATCTAATATTCATGTCCCTCAAAAGCATGTTGCAGAGAAAGAAAAAGAAATGCCTAAATTATAGATCACTCTCTGTTGTTTGTGGCACATATATGCTACACTCTATAGACAGGTACACTGGTGGGGCACAGCATAGCTGTAAAAGCATTCTCTTAGGATTTTAGGAAAACACAACAGCTGAGAAACCACTCAGCAATGTATGTTTATGAATCAATCATACTTGAAACTAATAATTAGGAATATGTGCATTAAAGAGTTAAATTAAATTAAAGACTTACCAGCTTGGGCTATCCAAGGCAAAACGTGAACAAGTTGCTGGTAATTGTCCCCACTCTTCCTTGAATGAATCACATTAGCTCTGCTGTCTCTGCTGGCTCAGCCTCTGGGCAGAATGAGTAAATCTCTTCCTTACACTGCATGAATGATCAGATATGAAAAAGCCTATTACTAGTAATTACTGAAGTCCAAGATTGCTGCTAAAACCTCAGAGCAGAACAGTATTTAAAGCAAGTAGTATTGTATCACAGGTAGAATGTTTGCTGCCTTAACTCTGTCCCAGTTACCTTTGCAGCTGTAGGAGTGACTAGTATGTGAAGTCTCCATGTGAGAGATGCCATGACTTCTGTGTGCTTTTAGCTTGTAGCCTTTAAAACTGATCAGCAGCACAGCGTCCAAGTAGAAAAAATAATTTCTTACAGAGTAAACAAAACTGCGATTGTAATTAATTTGCCATGCAGTATGAGCAAAAAGACATTGATGCAACCATCCTCAAGCAGTTGGTTTTATGCTAAAAAACAGTGAGAGGAAGGGGTAAAAATCACAGTGCAGTAGTGCTTGTTGCATGTGATGTATTGTTTCTTCTTTCTCCAAGCAAGCTACCACTACAGCCGACTGCAATCATAGCAACAAAAGCAGCAGGCATAGCCATAGCTGTGGGACATCTGCAACATCATTGGAAAGCTCCCAGCCTGAACAGGTTACACCTCAAAAAGATTATTAAATGAATAACAAAAGCACACTCTACGGATGCTAAAGCAGATCCTGTAATGTCTGCATTAGGAGATTCCAAAATAGGAGAATAGTGATATTTCAAAATCTCATTTTTTTTTACTATAGGGCAAAAAATGCAATTGCTGGAACCCACAGAAACCCACAAAAAATGTTACAGAGTCAAATGTGGAATATTTAAAATACCCATATACAGAATTCTAAAAACAATGGAGGTGGTAATCAAAGATAAACAACAGCCTAGAAAATTGTTATCCTTCTAGACGGTCCACTGGGTTAAATTCATGCAATCAGAACACTCCAGTGCAACATTGGATAATAGAAAAGAACCAAAACATGCCAATTCCTGGGTCCTAGCCAGTGACCATTAATATCTACAGAAAAAGTATTTTGGATATTTTTAAAGAGATACCAGAGCTACTCTTACAATCTGCTGAATTTTCTTCCCTGGTTTTATTCAGACATGATTTTTGGAAAATGTTGGAAACCTCCCAAAAACTGTTGATCAGCCTGATTCTCCCACACTTCAAACCTCAGCTACGGGTGCTGTGCCTCAAACCCAAGGGCATTCTTTTGCCCAAGTAGCTGAAGCTAAAATGTAGTCCTGGGCCTGATGTTTGTATGCCATGGAACTTGAAGCTAATCTATTTTTTAAACCAATCTGGATATGGATCAAACCATTCTTTGGGTGTTTTCTATCAACACACGTGCCTGCCTGTACATGTGTGTGTAAACATGCACACAGACGTGTGGGCATATGAGAATATCAAATGCAAATAATGAGAATATCAAATGCATATAGTTATAGGGCATAATGAGAATATCAAATGCAAATAGTTACATACTTTGCTGCAGCAGAGAATTGTGAAGTGCTATTACTATATTCTATGCACAGCATTCCTTCTCCTGTACCTTGAAAATCACAGGCCCTCCGTTTACAGGATTCCCTCTTTTGTTCTGCTCCTTCCAAGGATCATTAGTCAGAGAGCTGACTGAGGTCACTGCTCCTTGCCAACAGGAGGGAATTGGAAATCTTTCAAAAACCACCAAATACCTCTCTAACACTGAGATACTATCTGGAAAAAAACATGCTGAAAATCTGAAATGTCTAAATCAGTTTAAAATAAATGTAAGCCTAGGAACTCCATTTTCAGTGCTGTGCTAAATATGGATGATTCTTCTAAGTCAAAGTCCCCAGTTAAGTTGTTTGGGTTTTTTTTTGCCTGTATAGACCTCACCTATGCAACTCACTTGTAAAGGAATTCTCAATTTCCAGCTGTTTTAAGGGGAAAATGTAGAGTGAATTTCCAGAAATCAGTCTATTCTTAAACATTTCTAGCACCTTCTCATTGTGGTTCAATATTTCTATCTTCTGCTTTCTCCCTTCAGCTTTGTGGAAAGCAGCCCTTTTACAATTGCCATTTTGATTTTTTTAAATGCTTAGTCCTTTTTCTACCCAAACAGTACTTAGTAGAGTAGGAAAAGTTAAAATGTTTTCTTGCCCAAGCCTAGTTCTTGTGAAATACAATTAGCTTTTTTGCCTCAAGAAAATATATTTATAATCTTCTTGACCTATGAATATAAATTCTTAATTAGCCTGTTCAAAATTCAGAAGACACAAAACAATGCTCAGTAAGGTAAAAAAAAGTAATAATACATTTATAAAATGATAAAAACTAAATTATTAAAAATTACTATTCAATGTTTATAAGTAACTGTGAGAGGCTCCTGCATCCAGTTCTGGAAATGAAGAAGACTAAAAGACATTCAGAAGTAACAGACCCTGGGTTTTTGATGAAACACGTGGAAGAAGATCCTTTAGCCTGATCTCCTGCAGAAACCTGCCCATCCTCAGCCTTTGATGCTTCCATCAGAGGACGGAGAAGTCATCCAGTTCTTACTGCCCTTGCATTCCAGTCTCCATAGCCGCACGGAGCGTTTTGCTGGCTGTACTGACCCTGCTCCCTTAACCTGCTGCCACAGGTTTTCCTTCCATCACTGGTGAGTCTGAAAGCTCCCTGCCTGCAGCACACAAGGACAGCCGATCCCACCAGCTGCTCTTGCTCTTACTGCTGCCAAAGCTGCGTGTTTTTGGGAAGATGTACATTCAGTACTACACTTTGTTTGAAGAGGCCCCCCAAGTTGGCTGATTCAGTGACACAGTCCCCCAAACCTTCAGCCTGGGTTGTTCTCAGCTCTACACACCACTGCTGTTTTTAGCGTTGCGTTGGCCATTAACTCCATGCAGCAAATCCTGCTCGTTCCTCCCAGCCATGGGGACGTTTCTGGATGGGGAGCTCGCTGTAAGGTCGGGGTTTCGCTCCTGCATCCATCGATAGGTGGCAGCGTCCACCCAGCTCTCCAAAGCCGGCGCGGGTGCCCGCAGCGGCCGCGCCGGGAGCGCCCGTCCCAGGACGCGATGTCCGGCGGGCAGCTCCCCTCCATCCACACCCCTGGGGGATGTTCCCTGTTCTGCACCGCCTGCCCGTGCTTGTGGAAAACATTTGGGTTTTCCCACTAGAAACCGGGTGGGAAGTTCGGAGTGAAGAAACTGACGTGGGGCCTGACTTCACTTGCAACAATGGCAAAGCTGTTGCCATCAGAAAAGACAAAGCTGCGCTTTAGACTGTTCACAGTCCCACAAAAGGAACAAATAATACCAGGTCTCCATCCACTGATGCAGCAATGGAGCCAGGCAGATTGGATAGCTGGGATTGGGATCTCCACCCAAAGTAACATGACAACATGGCTAACTCTGACGCCTGTATGCGCTCTCGTTTTAGAAATCCTTTACTCGAAAGGCAGGTAAAGTGACTCTTCCCCTGAAACAAGACAATGGGGTAGTTTTTTCATACAGTCAAAACTATTCAGTGAGAAAGGTAAAATAAAAACCAAACCAAACCCCCAAACATATGAAAGTGTATGTTCCTTTGTCCTCACACTCATTCTTTCTTGCACATTTTTATACATATAACGTACTGTAGTAAATTCCAGCTCTGGTTTTGGCAATTCCTGCCTCTCTGGCTCTTGTTTACCTATCATCTTTCACACATACTCCTTTGCCAATTTGTTTATTCTCTGTCCTGTTCCCTGGTTTCTTGTGTTTCTTCAAGGACATTGACTGGAGTCTTACTGTTTCACTAGTTACTTTAGCCAGTGTTCTTGATCCAAATCCACAGCAAATAACCTATTATCCACAAACACACAGAAGTATTCAGTGTGCTTATGAAAAAGACAAATATTTCCCCGTTGATCAGTCACAGACATGATCAAACTTGAAAAATTCTGAAATTGTGAGTGAAGAAAAAATAATTGTGTTTGGACTAAGCTTAGAAATAATTTTCCCAAGTATTCTGAAATATTTGAGGCAACGTGATGTCAGTGACCAAGTGGAACTGGGCTTGGCAGCCCTGGCTCCCGCGGGTTTCCTCTGCAGCCACAGCTCCCAGCCACGGTCCCGTCAGCCCAGCCTGGAGCCCGGCACATCCAGGCTCTTGGCAGATGCACCCCTGCCTGGGGCTTGCACATTCCCAGAGGAAGGATGCAGATGGGAGGAATTCTCAGCTTTGTGGCACCTGTGGACTTGCTGCTTGTAATTCAGAATATGGTTTTAAAGGAGCTAGCAGAAGCTCAGAACTGTTTGGTCAGAATTCTTTAAAGATGGCATGTTTTTCATACAGTCACAGTGGCTTGTTTACCCATGATAGTCTTTTTACTTGGAAAATTCCTGAGAATAATAATTCCTGGCTGCAGTGAATAGAATCAGGCCTGGGCTGTCAGAGCTACAAAACTACTGAGTCATTTGGGATCCTTTGGAGTGTAAGATAAGTAAACAGAAATAAAATAGTATAAGAAATCCACCAGAGCCTCAAAGCTTTTCCTGTTTGAACCAAGGAATCAAAGGGCAGCTGCTGTTACCTAACAGGAGGTGTGCAGCAGCTCTGATATATGGGAATGCTGCTCTATTGCAAAACCAATGCAGAGCAGAGCTCTTTGCTGATGGTTCTTGCAGTTGTTCCCCAGATTAGGAAAACTCCCTAAATCTGTGCAAACACATGCAGCTTCAGGAAGCCTATAAAAGTACACGAGGCCATTGGATGTGTCTGAAGATATTGCTGGTCCTCAGAAACAAATTACCCATCTGAACATCATGGAAATAATGAAGTTGTCAGCAACAATAGGCAGCTGTGATGTTTTGTCAGCCTCCTGTTGATTATGTTATCTAGTCAGACACTCCACATAGAGATAATTTATGCCATGTATTGTTTAGCCTGACTGCTCCCAGCTGCACTACATTTAATTCAAGTTACACCAGAACATTTTACAAACAGAAATTAACAAGCTTTTCATAGC